TCACCATGGCCAACTCACCATAGCCAACTCGCCTCAGGACAACTTGCTGCAGGACAATTTAACAATTCTATTTTCTTTTTTCAATAAATAAAAAATATTTTAATTTTTGTCATTCATGTTTCATTCGGTCCCTCCTTTTGCATCCTTTCCTTAATGATTCCATTCCACCATTTCTTTGATATTAGTGTAACTCTTGTCCCGCAGTGAGGTATCCTGTGGCTGTCAGTCGGTTTAATGTCAGAGTTCCAAATCATAATCCCATATCAAGCAAAACTCTGAGGCAGGTGAAGTCTTCAAAAGAATAGCTTTATTGGGGATATCTTATTGGCACAGATCTGATGAAAACCGACTCTAAAAGTTCCCGCGGTTTTCCCCCTAATTAAAAGTGAAAGTTTGTCACTTCCTCCCAAACCCGCAGCCACATGGTCCAATCATCATACAGTCCAGTTGCTAGATGACCTCAGTCTCCTCCTTCTGAACACCTGCAGGAATGTCCTTGGTTCCCAAGGGAAAGCTACAGCACCCCAGCTATGTCTATTCCCCTCTCCCTATCCCTCAGCTCCAGTATGTGCCAGCACAGAAGCAGGAAAATTAAAAAAAATGGCCTCAGTTCAGCCAACTTCAGGGTTGACAGAGGTGAGTTGGCCATGACAATTTGGCTGTGAAGAATTAGCTGTGGTGAGTTGTGTCAGAGTGTGCACAGCTTTACTACATGAAACAACCCAGGAGCAATAACAGCAAATAGAAGTTTGTCATAAAATAGTGGCTTTATCTACAAAAGAATATATACTATACATACATGTATTATAGGCAGAAGTCAAACAATCAGTAAATTACAGCAAGAAAAAAAAACTCAGAGAGAGAGACAGAGAGACAGAGAGACAGAGAGACAGAGAGAGACGCCCTAAGAGGGTCTCTTCTTAATAATCAGGCTCTTAAAGGAATAGCAGCCAAAAACCTTGCTGACTCATTCTCATCATTGCATCATTGCAGCAGCTGGTCAGCTCTTAAATCACTACCCTGACAAGTTGGCTGTGGCAAATTGTCATAGACTGCTCCTTGAGCATGTTTAAGTGTGGCTTGGTTTGAGTGTGGAAAGGGTTACTATACATCATAATTAAATTGAATTGAATTAAATTCTTTATTGTCATTGTACATATATACACAGTATACATACAACGACATTCACATAACACCCAGAGACCAGACTCAACATACACACACACACATGACAATCCCCAAACACACACCCCCACCCCTAAAAACACACAAGCAACCACACAACAGACCAAGTAATACTTGTCCAACAGCTCACTGATGGTGGTCCTTAAGTTCATTGTTAAGTGCAATTATAGCTCTGGGATAAAAACTGTTCAGAAAACATGTAGTCTGAGTTTTAATTCTTCTGTATCTTCTGCCAGAAGACAACAGTTCACAAAGATTGTAAGCAGGATGGGAAGAGTCTGTGAGAATGTTGTGCAACTTCCTCAAACAGCGAGATGCAAAGATGTCATCCAAGGCTGGTAGCTGGAACCCGATGATCTTCTGGGCAATTTTAATGATTCTCTTTAGAGCCTTTTTTGTCCGCTACAGAGCTGCTCCCATACCATGCAAGAATGCCGTATGTCAGGACACTCTCAATGGTGCTGAGGTAGTAGGACAGAAGTAGATGCTGAGATAGATTTATCTTCCTCTGCATTCTCAGGAAGTACAGCCTCTTTTGTGCCTTCTTTACAAGCATGTTAGCATTCAAAGTCCATGAGAGGTCCTCCGAGATAGAAGTGCCCAGAAATTTAAAACTACCAACGCTCTCCTCCTCCTCACCATAATGTACAGTACAGTACAAAGTGTACACAATGTACACTTTGCCATGTACAAAAAGCCAGGCAATCAAAGCAGGGGGATTTGGAGACAAGAGAGTGTCCAGTTTACCATTAAAGTCAGGGTAAAACTCTCCATCAAAGTTATTTCCCACGACCAACTTCAAATCTCTTAATTAATCCTAAGTGGCACATCATATCTCTTTTCCAGCAAACATCACATGCTAGGTTTTTTTTTTTTTTTTGGTTTTTTTGCAGAATGACTCAAAAGATTGGAGTGGAAGAAAAAGGGTGGAACAAAAGTTACAGTCATTAAGGAGAGGAGTTGTGGAGGGAAGATTTTTGAAGCCAATTAAGTGTCTTTTCTGGGCCTAAAAAATGATATGGAATTTTGCCACCAGAAGGAATTTAAACAAAAGGGTAACAAGCATTCAATCAGAAAGGATTTAGCAAAACTGGCACAATACTCGTTAGAGAAAGTCAGTGCTTCCTTGCCAAAGAAAAACAAGCATTCTTCAGCAAATATTTTAATTGTGGCGAGGCAGGAGGGTAATGCATGAATCAAATTTTCAAATTCAGAGCTCCACTTTCTTCTTCCGGCAGGTATTTCTTCAGATGCAATGCCAAAATCCCACTCCGCGCTAAGAGAGGAGACCACAAGGTTTTTGAGTGTGCCAAGGTGATCGAAAGCTTCGCTAGCAAAGCTCGGAGTTTGGTGCCCGTCAAATACGAAGTGATTGTCGTGACAGGCTCCCAAAAAGGATCTGGCACAGATGCCAATGTCCACATGACCATATTTGGAGTGAACGGGGATTCGGGCAAGCGGCGTTTGAAGCAGAAATTCCGTAATCTCTTTGAACGGGGCAGCACCGATCGGTTTTACCTGGAAATCCTCGAACTCGGAGAGTTGAAGAAAGTTCGGATTGAGCACGACAGCAGCAGAATCTCTCCCGGATGGTTGGTGGAACGAGTCGAGATCACCAACTCAGCGACGGGCATAACCACCAACTTCCCTTGCGGGAAGTGGTTGGATAAGAATAAAGGGGACCAGTTAACATGGAGGGAATTGTTTCCCAGAAGCTAATGGTGACTTTAGAATAGAATAGAGCTGGAAGGGACTTTGGAGGTCTTCTAGTCCAGCCCCCTGCTCAAACAGGAGAGCCTATACCATCCCAGACAAGTGACTGTCCAGTCTCTTCTTGAAAGCCTCCAGCGATGGAGCACCCACAACTTCCGAAGGCAAGCTTCAGATGGAAGAGTGAAGAGATACCTACAGATGAGAATGTGATTAGGAATATACTAGAATGTGCGGAAATGAATAGATTAATATTGGCAATTAAAGAGGAAGAACAAACTGAATATTATCTGGTATGGGATTTATTCCATGAATGGTTAAATAATAGAAATGGAAGTTAGAAATAGGGAAACAAAATAAAGATGATGTGTCAAAAGTGATAAGTTAATATAATGACTAACATGTTGAATATTACCGTGTTAATATTGTATAATTAATTAGTATAATTAATAGGCGGATATTACTATGTTAAATATGTAAAATTAACATGCAATGAAGGATGTTATAATTTTGATTATTGTTTAATAAAGATGCTTGCACCCAGACTACACACACTTGTTCAACTGAAGATGGAATGATTGTATAAAAATAAAAGAAAACTTATTTTAAAAAAACTTCTGGAGGCCAGCTGTTCCACTGGTTAATTGTCCTCACTGTTTGGGAAGTTTCTCCTTCATTCCAGGTTGCTTCTCTCCTTGATTAGTTTCCATCCATTGCTTCTCGTCCTACCTTCAGATGCTTTGGAAAATAAGTTGACTCCCTTCTTTTTTTTGGCAGCCCCTCAAATACTGGAATACTTTATTATCTATTGTGTATTATGTATCTATTACCTATCACGCTATACTTTGCAGAATGTAATTTTCCAAAATTGTTTTTGCATCATCTGGCAGGTGAATTTTCAGTCTGGAATGCTTTCTTCAACAAATTAAATTTCAGAACAAAACTAACTTGGGGGTTTGGATGTCAATCTAACTTAATCCAGAAGAGGTTTTGGCAATTTCCTAATTTTCCAAAAACGGATCCTTTTGTTTAGCAAAAACTTCATTTCATTCCAAAATGTCTTTTCTCCCACACCCAGAAAGAAATATTATAACTCCCATCAGCTCTTCGATAGACTTGACTGTTATTTATGATGATTTGCTCAATGTTCTTTTTTTAAAAAACATTTTTCAAGATTGCTATTCTAAAAGTGCTCCGTGTTTCACATTTTCTGAATAACTTTTTTGCAAAATGTGCGGATAAATAAATACAGGTAGTCACGACCAACCACTGAGTCCCAAATTTCCAGCGAGACAGTCGTTCAGTGAGTTTTGTCCCATTTCCCAACCTTTCTTCCCAAAGTTGGTTAAGTGAATCTGTGTGTGTGTGTATGTGTAAAGTCCGTAATACGGTCGTTAAGTGAATCTGGCTTTCCCCGTAGACTTTGCGTGTAAGAAGATCGCAAAAGAGGTTTGTGTGACCCTGGGACACTGCAGCCATCATAAATACGAGTCAGTGGCCCAGCGTCCGAATTTTTGATCATGTGGGGTGGTACCAATGGTGGTAAAAGTGAAAATAGTCATAACCAGGGATGGGCTTCAAAAAATTTAGCAAAGCGTTCTCTGTCTGGTTGCTGGGTGGGCATGGCCTAATCAGCCTCCTGCACCATGGGGGGGGCATTTTTTCCCCTCCCCGGACTCCAGAGGCTTTCCTTGAGCTTCCAGGAGGGCAAAAATGGCCTCCCGGGACTCTGGAGGCTCCCTGGAAGCCGCGAACGGGCCCATTTCCGGCCTTCCTGAACTTCCAGGTGGCTCGTTTTTCACCCTCCCCGAGCCTCCGTGCAAGCCCTGCACTTAGATTCTGAAATGTGTAGATTCCAAAATGTGTAGATTCCAAAATATGTAGTTGGTGAGATATTCTCGGAACTCTCTGCTTATTTAAAGTATTCGTACCCCACACTGCAACTAGAGCAGGGGTCTCAAACTCGCGGCCCGCGGGCCAATCGCGGCCCGCAGGACGATATCCTGTGGCCCCCACCGTGATATGAAAGTATAATATTAGTGCGGCCCGCAGGGGGAATGGACCTCTGAAGGAAGTCCCGCCCGCCGTTCCTCGTCGTGGCTTCTTCTCCACCCTGAACTTTAACAAGTCCAAGTACAGGTCCAGACTTACTGATGATCATCTTCAAGCCATACTGAGGGTCTCAAGTGCCTCCTCTCTCAAGCCAAATGTGGCTCAGATATGTGAGAGGAAGCGTTGTCAAGTCTCTGGCAGCAAGGAGTAAGCTGGAGAAGCCACGTTCTGAGCAACTGTTCATGATCTTCATTCAATGTTCCATTCATGTGTTCAGGACAGTTCATGTATTGGAGAAACCATTAACTGTTGATGACATTTGAGGATATTTTTTTAACAACGTTTTTTGTGGAATCCCTTATGCGGCCCAGCCTAACCCCAAACTCTGCCTCCAGCGGCCCCCAGGTAAATTGAGTTTGAGACCCCGGAACTAAAGGTTGACAACACCGCTTCCGAGCCAATACAAGGAGCACAGCTGGTGCCACTTGATGGCAACGCAAAATAATTAATTTCAGAATCTCTGTTATTAAAATCGCTGGTATCCCTCCCTCTTTCCAAGATGAAAGTATGCGGAATGCAAAATTCCTGCTCTCACTGGGAAAGCATTTCTCATCCGTTGTGGTGAAATGGATTCAGTGTGAAAAGGACCGAAAAGAACCATCCCAAGAGCCAACTGGTCAACGAACGGAAAGCGTGGTGAGGTGAGCATGTTACTTTGAATATACAGGAAGTCCTCGACTTACAATGGTTCATTTAGTGACCATTCAAAAGTTACAACGACCACTGAAAAATGGGACACATGACGGATGTGCATACTTACACCCGTTGCAGTATCCCTATGGCCACATAATCAAAGTTTGGATGCTTGGCAACTGACTCATATTTATGACGGTTTTGGTGGCCCAGGCGGGGCATGTCCTGCAACCCCCTTTTGCGACCTTCTCACAAGCAAAGTCAACCTGGAAGCCAGATTCACCTAACAACTCTGCAGCGATTCACTTAACAAGCATGGCAAAAAAAACGTTGTAAAATGGAGTAAAATTCACGTCATGACTGTCTCGCTTAGCAGCAGAAAGGTTGGGCTCAACTGTGGTCATATATCGAGGACTACCTGTATCCAAAAAGAAAGCAAGGTGCAAACAGAAGGAGCAAATTATAGCATGAAGTGATAACATGGTAGCCCTATTCCAGTATTTGAGGGGCTACCACAAAGAAGAGGGGAGTCAACTTATTCTCCAAGGCACCTGAAGCAGTGGGGGGATTCAAACAATTTTTACTACCAGTTCTGTGGACGTGGCTTGGTACGTGTGGCTTGGTGGGCGTAGAAGGTGAAGGATACTGCAAAATCCCATTCTCTCCCCACACCACTAACCTGCTTTCCAGCACCGTTCTCCTGTGCAGGACAACCAAAGAAGACCCAGCCAATCAGCTGGGACTCAGGAGGCGGAGAATAGATGGAGGCGGGGCCAGTCAGAGGTGGGATTTGCTGGTTCTCTGAACTACTCAAAATTTCCGCTACCAGTTCTCCAGAACTGGTCAGAGCTGAATCCCATCTCTGACCTGAAGGCAAGACAAGAAGCAACGGGTGGAAAACTCATGCAGGAGAGAAGCAACCTAGAAATAAGGAGACATTTCCTGACATTTAGAACAATTAATGAGTGGAATGGCATGCCTCTAAGAAATTGTTGGTGCTCCAACACTGGAGGATTTTAAGAAGAGATTGTCTCGAATGGAATAGAACAGGGGGGTCCAACTCAATTTCATTGAGGGCCGCATCAGGGCTGTGGTTGACCTTGGGGGGCTGGGTAGGTGTGGCCAACTGGGTGGGTGTGGCCAGCTTGATGCCATTCCCCAAACTGCTGGCATGTTTCCTCTTTGCATGGGGTAGACCAGGCCGAAGCTACGTTGGCCCGATCTTTCTCCTTTGCATTGGGTAGACCAGGATGGCTCCACGGGCCAGAGGTGACCACATCACAGGCCAGCTTCGGTCTGTGGGCCTTGAGTTTGACACCCGCTGCTTGAGCAGTGGGTTGGACCGGAAGACCTCCAACATCCATTATAGCCCTATTCTGATTGACTGGTTGACATTAGCCTTGGCGAGGTGCTTCTCATTGTGGCAAGCGTATATGCAGGTAAGGGCAGGCCCTGCGCAGGGGCTCAGGGAGGGCAAAAAATGGGCCTCCCGGAAGTTCGGGAAGGCTGGAAATGGGCCTGTTTCTGGTTTCCAGAGAGCCTCCACAGCCCAGAGAGGGCAAAACCGTCCCCCCTGCCATGATGCAGGCAGGGTTGCCAGATCGCAGCTTGGCTCTGCGGCCAAACTCAAGTCAAAATACAGCCAAATTTGGGCCAAATTATTTTCTCTCACGGCCAAATTTTCTGGCCAAATTTTTTTATGCAATATAACATGAGGATATATTGTTTTTTTTTAACTGTTTTTAAATAATCAAATCATTAAAAAATAGTCTTTATTCGACAACGTGACGTGACGTCATGGGAATTTCTGCGTTTCTTTACTCACATCCAGGCTAGGCAGCTCACATCAAATAACCGCTACTACCGTTTGGAAAGCTCAGGGCCAAATGCAGCGATCCTCAGGAGGGGGGAGATAGGGCATGAGGGTTTTTAGGGGGATTCCCTCCCCCCCCCCATTGAAAAAATGTGAACATATTGTATTGAAAACCGGTATTCGGCCAAAATTTCGATTTCACGGCGAAGCAACTTTCATACGCCCAAATTTCTGGCCAAATACATTTGGCCGGAGACATGATTTTTTTCACGGCCAAACAGATTTCTATACAGCCAGATTTCTCGAATTTGGTTGGAAAAACAGCCAGATGGCAACCCTGGATGCAGGAGGCCAACTAGGCCACGCCCACCATGGCCAGGTCCACCCAGCAACCGGGCAGAGAAATTTGCTAAAATTTTTGAAGCCCACCCCTGATCTTTCCCTGACACAT